TTTCAACTGTTTAGAAATTATTTAATAGTTAGTATCGAAAACGGATTTTTATAAGCTTAGTTGCTCGTTTTTGTAATTTATTAAATGATAGCATTTGATATTTTAATTAAACAGAATAAAAGGTGGTTAATCAATATAAATGATGAGTATAGGATATGTATTACTTCTACCTGGACGAATTAAGTTTATAAAATAGTGATTAAAAGATTTTATTTAAGTAATTAAATGAATTAACTAAGGTTAAATAGTAAATATATGTGCATAAAAGGTACTGTTCTAAAAGTTCTTCTCTTGGAATGATTTTTTCGAATACGTTTCTAGTTCGATGAAGTGATTTATTCAAAAACTCTGTGTACCCAAGGATATTTTTTCATTTGCATAAAGGAATTTTTATTTGAAGATTCCTTGATGCATTATTCAATGAACGAAAGAGTACTTTTTTATCCGACACATAACTGAAAGAAGTTTATATATCATTAGCGTTCTTGTAATAACTACGATTATTCAACCACATTAAAAAGAAGCAGTAGATGACTTATCCTACTCTTGAATCAGATAGTATTTTTAGTTGCAAACATATTTTAATCATTAAAAATACAAAATACTCAAAAGTAAAATGTTTAAAAATTGCGTATTCTATGAAACGAAAAAATATATCAAAACGAAATATTTTTTAATTAGAGATTAATTACAACTGATTTTTATAAATGATTCTACGATCTAGAAAGTAGCCTTTAAACTAAATTAAACGTTATTATGCACTGAACAAAAATCACATTAGAATTCTATTTCAACTCATCAAATAGTGCCATATTAAACTACATAAATATCTCTTCTCGACAAAAAAAAAATCACAAGGTCAACAGCAATTTTGGATGTTAGACTAAATGTTATATTTTGTTTTACTGCTCAAAAACTGTAAAACAAAGCATATATGACTAAAGTGTATAGAAAAATAAATAGGAATTATGATAGGATATAAAAATTAACATTTGATAATTTGTTTGCGAATCATTAAACCTTTAACTTGTTGGAAAAAATAGCACGCGGATCGTTCGATATGCCGCAGTAATACAAGTGGAAGGTTTAAATGCTATAAGAATCCTTTTCGTTTATAAATTTAACATAAGATTTTTAGAAATTCGAATTTGTTAGAAGAGTTATTGCAATTTAACTTGCTTTTTTGTTATTTGTTTTCATTTTTTTTTCGTTTATGTTGAACTTTACTTTGACGCACACAACCTATATGACTCAAGAAATTTGAAATCAAGATGGTGTATAAAAATTACAAAGAGACAGATGAATTCAAATAAGTTACGATTCGATGATTTGCTCGAGAATTACGAAAACTTTAACTTATTGTGAATTTTTTTTTATCCTATATCCTGTTCTGTGAAATGCAACTGCAGAGTTTAAATTTGATGTGCTGATTAGACAACTTTTAAATATAAACTTAACAAGCGTTTTTTTTTCTTTCAAAATTTGAATTTGTTTATTCAATTTGTGCAATATTCAATTTGTGTAATATTCAATTTGTAAATTCAATTTGTGTAATATTTTTCTTTAAATAATAATTTGTTATTCATTGTTGTGAAAGATTTATCTTTATCTCGATTTTCATTTTATGAGCTCGCTCTTGACTTGATGTTTAAAGGGACAAAAAAATGAATATAGTTCGTTCACCAGGAGTTGGCACTTGGCTCCACCTCCTCGGACGCACAGTTCATTTCAGCGCGGGGGAGTAAGAGGAAAAACATTTCCCAGCTTTAAATCACGATAACCTCTAATGCGCGCAAAGCCTCCACACGGTTTTTTGTAGGGAGTCCGATCAGACTACTATGAAGACAAACCAATTTACGAAAGAGCCCTTTAATAGAAAATCTAGTGGAAATAAGAAAGTGGTAGCAAATATATGTCTAAAAATTTGTTCAATTTTTGAATATAATTAGTATGTCTTATTTACTTGTCTACCACTACAGATTCAATTCTCAAATATATATGTTAAATTCCTCTTAGTCACTTTTAAAAAAGAATTTGGTTTCATGCGCTCAAACTGTTCACTTTTTAAATAGTCTGCTCAGACTACTTATAAGAAACCTTGTGGAGGCTTTCTGATGTAGAAGGTGATGGCCAAACACAAACAGTGAATCCTTTTTCAGTCACTTACTTCGCTTTATCATCAGCTCTAATACGTTACTCATACTCATACTTACACGTTACATATACGTTATTTCGTTATTCTAGCTAATTTATATTTAAAAACTTTTTCCCAGCAAAATATCTAAAGAAGAACAAACTATTCAATAAAAAGAGAGAAATATCAACATGTCTATAAAATAAAATGCGCATGTTCAAAATATGCTCATGAAGATTGCGAAATAAATATTTTTGTCAAATGATCGCCAAATAGCAACCTTGTTCACATCCTTCTCAACAAAATAGCGAAATAGTATCATCCGATACCACGTGATGAAGGCGGAGCCAAGTGCCAACTCCTGGTGAGCGAACTATAATTGAAACACAATTAACGCATAAAATTGAACCATAAAATTAAAACATAAAAGAGAAAGCTTAGATGTTGCCAGATAAAAATCTCGACATTTTTATCGAAATTTTTAAAAAATATGAAGACTGAAAAGAGAGAGAAAAACTGTTTCCAAGACAAATTGTGACATGAGATAAGGTTATTGTTATATATTGATAAAAAGAAAACTTATCTCTTTCCTATTACTTCGCATAATTTTCTGCGCAACTTCTGTATTCCTAAGTTTAATTTTTTTTTAAAGTACAATTGATTATTTTTTAAATCCAGGTTAGGTTGCATTTTGCTACGATCAAAATATTAATAAAATGAACCTGCATAACATTATAATAGTTAGGTATTTCGTAAATGGAGTAATTTTTTATCGACTTAAAAAGAATGAATAGCATAGCCCCCCAGTGATTAAGTGACTGAAACTCTGACTGAATTCATTTTATTTAATAAAATTTTAAGTGTTTAATGGCACAAAGAAACAATGAAGGACTTTTACACAATGCTTGACCCAAAAGTTTCATTGTCTTCCGGGCTACGATTAAAATTGAAAGATTATAGTGTTTAAAAATAATAACCACCCGTAATCTGCCGGAAAATTGAAAAATCAACTCGTTATATTCAGCGCCATGGTCCTGATAATCGATCAGTAGAAGATGAGATGTTAGGTACAAACAACGGGTAGATGCCCCAAATGCACTTAAATTATACATTTGAGTGCACATATTCAAGGCCATAGATAAATTTTCATTTCCTGGGTTTCAACATCAAGAAAACTTTTTATTATCAAGCATCGTTCGTCTGGGCTTAAAAAGGTTAAAATTGGTTCATATTAATTACCAGTTAAACGCGTCAAATAAGTGTAAAGACTGATTTTAACTCTTAATGTATAAATACTTCTTCACTTGGTTCTGCTACCCTTTAATTCTTACCCCTTGTTTTGGAGTATAGTAAAATCGAATGGATAGTACAAATTTTTGTAAAAAAAGTGGTCTAACTGCTTCTAAAACACTCTTCTTTTCGATTAAAAACATAATACAACGAAATATTTGAAGGTATTCAGGAAAAAAACGAAAAATTCCAGTTTCAAAGCTACTCTTCCATTTAAAATGCCGGATTCTTCGTGTTCTCATGTTTCAATCGAATATCCATGGATTAAAACATCAAGCTATTGTTTGTAGAAAGATTATGTAACGGTTAAATTCAGACATTCATTAATTTTATATTTATTTAATTGTATGTTAATTTAAGTTACTTTAACCATGCTGCCACTTTGAGTTATGTTCAAAAGCTTAGCATTCCCAATAGTTCACGGATAGCACAATACAGTTTGGCATCAAAAGTACAGTTTAACATGCTACATTTTCAAGTACTTGGAGGCTCCATTCCATGCTTGTAGAACTTGCCAATCCTCCGTTTCTTTTAACCCATCTAGTCGCATTTGTCTTTTGTTTTTCCCTTTAAAGTTTATATTCTCACAAAACAGTCCTTATGCTTTTAAAATATATAATTATAATTTTATGAACATTTTGTCAATATATTAATCGTTGACAAAATTAGCAAGCACTTTGATTTCAAAAATAGTAAACTATTTTAAAAAATATTTAAACTTAGGAATACGGAATGTATTACGTAACTAGAGATAATAAATGAGAACAAAATTTATTTGTTAAAAACATATAACGACAACCTTAAAATGCTATAAAATTTCAATTTGGAAACAGTTTTTATCTCTCTTCAGTATTTTTTTTAAAAATTAGATGTAAATATTAAGAATTTAAATCTGGCAACATCTAAACTTCTTATTTCAATTATTTTCTTACGTTTGACAAATTAAACATGAATTCATAAAAGGAAGATCTCATGAGAAATTTTTCAACAATGGATAAATAATCATTTAACGTTAAAAAATCATGAAACAAAATTGAAATTAGATACTTTAAAAACTGAAGTCCATGAAGTCCCTTTCAGCACATTGAATTTAAATTCAATAATTTTATTTCAGCGGGCAACAGTTTGGCTCAAATAGTATTTTTATTTTAAGATTAACTGTTTAATTGCGAAAGTATAGAATGCTAAATTTTTATTTCATCGTACTCCTTGAAAATTATTTTGCACATCTTCGTAAGACCCAGTTTTTTAGTCATAGTTTTGACACAGCAAAACATAATGTAGCGTTAAGCTGGACACCCAAAACAGAGACGATGACAGTACTAACATTTTTTTTTTATATTGAAATGAAAAGTATTGTTAGAGTATATTTAGAAAAATCCATGTATATACAAAATAAATTTTAAACCACGCTTGATGCAACCTTAAAACAAACCTGAAAACCTACAAAATTGTTAAAACTTCAAAAAAACATTAACTACTATCAGATTGATTAGTGTCTTCTACGCTAATTTAAAGCTGTATTTCAAATGTTAAAGCTTTAAAAAGATTTCATTACGCCAATGAAAATAACAAATTTAAAAGAAAAATAAGATTTATTTAAAACCAGTCTTTCAAATACTATACATAATATCAAATAAAATTTAAACTCTACAATATTATTCATCAGTTGCTTCCCCTTGACTCCGAGACCGCATCTCTCGCTCTTGAATCATGCGAGCTTTTAGCCTGGTGTTGTAAGGTGAGTCAAAAATATTGAATGTTTTAGCTCTAAATCTGGATTGTCTTGGCGTACCTTTACTGGCAGAGCTAGGTGTTTCAGAGATGCGTAATGCTTTCATAGCTTCAGTAGGTGACAGAGAATGCTTGTTTCCTGAAGTAGCACTTTGTTCTGCATTGCTGACGGATTCAAGTTTCTTTCCAGTTTCTCCTTCTTCAACTGATGTTGAAAGATTTATTTGCTTGATTGGTTCTTCAATCATTGCTTTGTCTAAGTTAGATGCGCTACTTTCCTTTTTTAGAGCTTCAGTTTCTAACTTTGGAGACTTTGTACTGACAGTAGGGTTAGGATCTGTATTATCAAACGATTTATTTCCAATTCCATCTCTTTCATCTCCGAATACGTCTTCAATTAATCCTTTTACTAAAATAGAAGTACTGCTATGGGCTGTCGAGCCTTCTGTAGCCAACTGTTGAGACTTAGCACGGGCACTAATGGTCTGTTTTGTATCATTGAAAGATTTTGATTCGTTTCCAGTTTCCTCTTGTTCAACCTCTAATTCATCCTCCATGGATTTTTTACCAAAACTAGAGATACTGCTATCGGCTGTATCATTGAAAGATTTTGATTCGTTTCCAGTTTCCTCTTGTTCAGCCTCTAATTCATCCTCCATGGATTTTTTACCAAAACTGGAGATACTGCTGTCGGCTGTATCATTGAAAGATTTTGATTCGTTTCCAGTTTCCTCTTGTTCAACCTCTAATTCATCCTCCATGGATTTTTTACCAAAGCTGGAGATACTGACGTCGGCTTCACTACCTTCTGAGTTGAACTCCAAAGCACTTGTGTCGATACCAGATTCACTTCGAAATAAATCTCCCGACTCTTTTTCAACACTTAATTCCTCTAATTCCGCTTCCAAAGAACTTGAATCAGATACTGAAGTGTTGTCCACAGAGTCTTCAAAGGAAATTTCTTCTGACATATCTAAATTAAAGAGTAAAAACTTGATATGGTAAATGCGAAAATATAAATATGAATATTCTATACCCAATCTATACCTGAGCAGGAGAGTTCCGCAAATCCTGTTAAATGTATAAAGCAGGACCCGGTATTTTTTACTGTTCTGTCATTTATCAGAAATCTGAAAATGGTTGCAAACAAAAGTCTTGCAATTTTGAAGTTAACGTAAAATAGTAGCTTGATTGTAGACACCATTTTTGAAAATTAAATTTAAAAAAGTTATTTTTGTTTCGTCAATTTAATTCTGTACTTTCTAATTGCTATAAGATTTTTCCTGAATTCAACGCCTGATTATGTAGTTTTTAAGCTATTGCATTTATTAATATAAGTTCTACACAGCGTTTAAAAATATAAGCTTTATTTGCTCACTGGCACATAGCCTAATAAAACAGGAGCTTTACCATTAGAAGAATTCCAGGAAGCTATATTCCACAATACTCAGAGTAAAAATTTCAGGAAGGCTGGATATATTGGCACATAAAGCCTGCAGAGGGACATAAACGTTTTATTTCTGTCTTTAAATCTAATCATTTTTATTTATGATAAATGCTGAAGATATTCTGTGTGTTCCTTGATTTTAAAACCTTGATATTTCTCAGCAAAAAATGAAGGGCAAAATTAAGAATAAGGTCAGTGACAGTCGCCACTTCTTAAATTAAAAATATTTCCAAAAGCTAGGAAATATGTAATACCTTATTATGCATCACTGCTCTAAATACTGGAAATAATGATCTCAATTAAATAGTTCAAACAAGGAATATTTGTCGATCCACACACTTAAAATATGCTTTCACATCACTTAAAATACTATATTATCTATGGTTTTTCTCATGTTTATGCTTTTATAGGGAAGTAAATTCCTGATTTATCAACAAAAAAAATCGATAAGGAACATTTGTTTACCAGAGAGAAACTTATTGAGGGAAAATATTGGCATTGACAATGACAGTGGAACATGGAGAATTAGAAATGATTGAGTTTTTGAAAAAGTATCAAGATATGAATACTTTTCACCTTATCTTTACATATCATGTCTTGACATGATATGTAAATATAAGGTGTCTGAAGTGGTTGGGTCACATCTAGAGGATGAACACTAACAGTTGTGATAATGGTCTGACTCAAAACCTGGCTTCTTAAGACCAAGTTGAAAACCAAGAGAGATGATAAAAAGGAGTTTAGGACATAAAATGTCAAAAATAATGAACTAGAAATTTAAATCGGGTAAGAGTGAGGATGAATAGTGAAACCAATGGATAGAATTCCAAGGATGGCAAGTGATATATTGCTATGTTGAATGAAATGAGACATTTATTGCCTAAAACGAAGTCATTTAATGATCAGCCAAGTAATTCTTTAAGACATAGGTCTGCCCAGAAAACAATCCTGAAAAACCAATAATTAAAGGATTGTGCTAAAAGCAAAACGTTAGCCAGTTCACTGGAGGTATGAAAGAGGTAATTTTATGTGTTAACGAAACATTTCACAGGGGAAAATGTGCTACAAAAACAGGAATGTATAAAAATTTGGACCTAAATTTAATAAATTTTCCTTTAGAAATGCATTTAATAAATTTTCCTTTAAAAATTTATTTGATTTCAATCATTAATTTTACATACACTAAAAATTGTAAATTTATTAATTTTTAAGACTGCGTTACTAGCAATTATTTTTATCACCTAAAATTTTAATTACATTTCGTGTTTTATAGCGTCCTATTTGTATTTCATTAGAGATGCGTGAAAGTTTCATCCGTATTAAATTTTTTTAAGCCATTATCAGTAATTCTAAACCTCTTTATGACTGCATATAGAGTAAAGTTGAATTCAATGATCCCGGATGCAGCTATACTGCTGCATACGTAATTTCGTATTACTCAATGCTACGAAAAAAAACTTTTTGTAAACCTTTTTTTTCAATATAAACTAAGTAATACGAGTACCTGAAAGAAAACCTCGCATCAGAAATAGCCCTAAGAGGCCATGAAGTCCCAAGAGAACTGTAAATAGAGAGGAGCACTCACATTTGAGGAATTAGTTTTGAATTTTGTTTTGATTACTTTTGCGGTCGTATTCTCAACTACCAAATCTACCAGTCATAAGTCAGTCCTTAGCCACAAAAAAAATTCTGATTCTCTAGTTGAGAAAAATTCTGTTCCTTTAAACTTCCTTTGAAAATGCAAGCAATTCAGTATTGTTATAGCCATTGTGCATTTTGAGATGTCACATGAAAAAAAGTGCTCATTTGTGTTTAAGTATACTGTTTTCCCTATTAAAAAATAATTTTCGTCGTACACCTGTATATTATGTCCCGTATAGCAATTATAGAAACACTGAATAAGACAGACAAAAATTTGACATTTATTTTAACTTAGTCAATCGATCAAAGCTTCCATTTCAGTGTTTAAATATTGGTACTTTTTTGCTGCTGTTTTAAAACTGCATCATAAGTACTCAGGAATTTAAAATGCAAATATTGTAGTTAATGCAATAGGAATATTTTTCTGGTATCGCATCGCATTTTCCAAATGTTGTATTTTATCCCAAATTTTGTAATTGGTCATTTTAAAATTAAGGAGTTTCGGGTTGAGAATTAAGTTTCCAGGTTATTTTTAGACCTGACAATTTATAAAATATTAATTGTGGTTTGGCAAGTAATAACATTTTGTAACAAATAAACGAAATGTGAAAGGTTTCAGTAGAGAAATTAACTTTGTAAGAAAAAGAAAAAAATTTCAAAAATTTCAAAAAGCAGAAATTGAAAAATCAAAAAAATTTTGTTAGAACTTGTTAATAGCACTATAATGAATTTGACAAATCAATATTAATTTATTTGCTCAATTAAATTTTAAATAAATTTTGAAGACGAAGGTCTCAGATTACGAAATTTTTGTTTAAAACCACTCCAAAAAAGCAAATCTGATTGTTCAGGTGACCTGGTTTTAAGACGGGAACAGTATTTTCAAAAAACACGTTATTGTTGCACTCTCAGAAATAAAACTAACTTTAAACGATTCAGCAATCTTTGAACTGCATTTCATTAATTTTGAGAATCATTTCGTCATGAAATCACCTGATTTGTGACGAAACGGAAATTCGTATGACGAAATTGTTTTGTAGACTCCAAACCTCATCGCAGAGCATTCTGGGAGATACTTAACTAGTTTAAAGACTAGACTATCGAAATTAGAATGAAGAAATAAGCTCACCGACCACTGTATGGTGGTCAAGGATTTGTCCTTATTAACTATACCACCTGTTAGATACCATGAGGAATTATAGATGCCACATGGTGTGTTTTTAATCTTTTGGAAAAATAGAATGTTTAAGTATTTCTTTACTTTTGACGAAACTTTCCTCGTATAACTATGTACTCACTTTGAAAAATGTTCACTCTGAGCATATACCAGGAAACTATTTCGTCGAAAACGAAGAAAGTTGTGAAATTTGAGTATTTTTACAGGGAAATAAACAAAAAAAAACTTGAAGTTAAACACTAATCTATGCATTTTTCAATGTTATAAAGAATATAATGTTAAATGGGCAAAATTATGAGCATATTTTGCAATCTAATATTACTTAATAATCGAATATACAGCAAATTTATACGAATCCGTTTCAAAAATGAATGAGTGTTTAGTGAAAAAAAAAGACTTTAGTTTAAAAAATGATTTTAATACATGTGTCTGGCATTATTTGCCCCACCTTTAACTAAACTTCAGTATTTTTAGGAAATTATTTACTGTTATAAAATTAATGAATTTTCATATTCTGGTTATTGATGCTTGACTGGAATGCAGAATTTCATCACGCGGACGAATGTGAGTTAAAGTAAGCAATTTTATTTAATCTACGCTACTCAAAGTAATACAATTATCGAATTTGGTGCATTACAATAAGTATACATTATAAGGCACTTATCAAGCTTTTAGAAAATTCGCAAAACGGCAATAATTTTTGCAAAATTAAGGCAAAATTTAAATTCCGATTTATTCAGTTTTCTAAAGTTCATTATATCGTGTTCATAAATTAAACCAAGAGATGAAAAAAAAAATATGTAGTATTTGAAAAATCAGGTAATATGCTCAGAAACTAAGAGAGTAAAAAGTTCAATTTTAGCTCGTCTTAACTCTGGTTTGTAATTTTCGAAAAAAAAAAGTAAAGTCAAATTTTTAATAAATTAAATATAGTTGAGAAGACTAAATCAATTTATAAAGTTTCGAATTTTCATAGTAACAATGAATTTTAATCTATAATGACTGGTATTTTAAAAATCTGTAGATTTTATTCATTTTTAACATTTAATAAAGAACTTTGGATTTATCCTTTATTAAGACACTTAATAAAACGACTCCTTACATTTTATAAAAAATGCATCTCTGAAAAACTAACAAATGTGTAATTATCAACGTAAAAATTTGAATCTAAGAATTAGAAATCTGAGGAGCGAAAAATTCGCTGTTGGACTAATGGCCTGACAGATTTAAAATCAATTTTCTTTGAACTATACGTTATCGTTAAACTCATATTTTGAAAAAAAATCCGACTCAGTTTCTAATACAAGTTGCTTTCGTTGTTAAAAAATAAAGTACATACGAAACATACTTCATAGGCAGGCAATAAAATTATATTATTTGCAAAAAACTTAAACTATTCTAATTTCATCTATGAAAAAAAATTTTAAGCTTTAAAACTCTGGGTGAGGAGAGTAGTGTAAATCACAGTTTAACAGAGAACCACAAGGTTGGTACTTACATATAGAAAAACATAAAACATCTACTATCAAGTTCCTACTAGAATATACCGAAGATCCCACATTGCTTTCGAACTGGTGAAAGTTGCCCAACTATTACTTTAAATGACATAAAATGAGTAAGTTCGTCAATTTTACTACAGCTGAAGCGTTTAAAAAATAAAAAGGATTAAAATTAAAAATTAGAAAACTTTTCCTAAATAATTCATTAATCTTCATAAATATTCTAGAAACTTTGTTAAAATTCGCAGACCTTTACGATTTGACATATGAAGTTTAATATTTTGAATTTTGACTAAGATTTGGGAAAATTTTTTGTACTTAATTTTTTATAATGAAATAAAATTTGTCGATAAATATCGAAATGACCACATGAACCTCATAAAAACTATAGTACTGCTAATTTTAAGAATACAAATTTTAAAATTCCCATTTCAGAAGAGAAATTTTGTCAAAAAATTCAGGAAAATTGAATAGTTATAATTAAAACTTTATTTAGGAATATTGAATATGGACAATGTGATGCAAGCAAGCAATCTTTTAAAATGATCAAAACTTATTTTTATTCGTCAAACCCAGATAGAGTATACTTAAGTACGCTTTTAATTTTCTAACAGAACTACTTAACTATTTCCTTAAATTTGAAATTTTATAATGGCGATTCGTGATTTAAAAATAAATTTATAAATAATCCATCGTAATGTTAAGTAAAAAAGTAAAATACATACTTTGTTAACTTAATAATTCTTGAATAATTCAGCAAACTTGAAGTTTATAAAATTCTTCCGTTATGTTATTCATTTTTAAAAACTTTTTTACTTAAACATTAAATTTAAATACTGAAGAGTGTTAATTTAAGTTAATTTCATGAAAATATTCTTAAAACCTTCAAAGATAACAAAAATTACTGAAAAAGAGGAAAATATTACATTATTCACATTCTTTCAACTTATATGACTTCATCGGATAACTAGCTAAAACAAAGCTTAGAAAGCAATCGCCGAACTAAAATTATGAAGTAAAATTTCAAGTTAATTTTAAATCCTTCAGATTTTGGTTTTCAACGAACATAGTACCAATATACATATAATATATTATTTGATTGTTAGTTACATTTTGTAAGAATCTAAGCAATATAACTATAAACTAAATACTAATACAATCGAAGAAATGTTTAAAGGATCTATTTAGATGTATAACAAGACTCCAATTGCATTTTAATGTTGTGTGCAAATTTTACAACGTTCTTTGTAATATAATAAAGAATTCTTAAATTTAAAAATAACTTATTTAACAGTTTTTTGTTAGTAGTAAAACAAATTTTACTTTTTTTGTGAATATTTTCACCTTAAGTTAATGCAAAATTTATCTAAAAGGTAAAGAAAAGCTTTAAATAATGATTTCTACTCAGTACAATGTTTTTAATTCTACTGGGTAAAGATTTAGTTTTGTAAGACACTTTGCTTAACAGAATTGACTACGGTATGAAAAAGGTAAATAGTCGTTCCGGAATTAAAGCAATTCAAATAATCAAATTATCTTAAAGAAAGTTTAATCGTACAATTGAGTACAATTTCTTAAAAACTATATACGACGATTTTTAAATAGCTAGCAAATAAATTTTTTATGCATTACAAAATTACTGTTATGTTAAATAATTCTTCGTTTTCATTAATTAAAAGAGGAAAATGAATGGGCATAGATTTGAATTGCTTTTAAGTAAATCTTGAAACAAATCAAAACCCTAAAACGCCTGGTGGAAAAGAAAACACAAAAAAACTGTTTAAGTTTAAAATACTAAATAAATATACAATATCTAAAATTTTTAAAACATTTAAATAAATACTAAAATTTTTAAAACATTTTATTTTCCAAAGAGTACAATAAGAAAATAATGAAATATCGCTTTAAAACTCACCTATCTATGTTGTTTCTGCAAGCGTATCAAACAATAAATAGCGTATCAAACAATAAATAGCGAATCCAACTTCTTAGCTTTTCATTTGCTATTTAACAAAAGACACAATTGCGAAAAAAGTGAGGATTTATTTGGTTGAAAACATTCTGCGTCATTTCCTCCTTGGGTTGGATGAAGAAGAGGATGTTGCTCTTCGCTTTTAGCCTCTGTGTCGCAAGGGAGAGTTTGGTTGAGGATGATGAGTTGACTTGATGATGATGGAGAACTGAGGGTACAAGATGATCATGATGAAGAAACTTTAAACTAATTCAATGTAAAATTTGCAGTTTTGCGAGTAACCAAAGAACAAAATTTTGTAGTTCCAATACACTTTTGAGGAGGTTGACTTGTTGATAATGAGGAAATGAAGATGCAAAATGATCGTAAAGGACTAATTCGATGCAAAGTTTTCAGTTCTCTGAGAATTCAAAATCAAAATATGGTGGTTCCAACACTTTTGGAGAGACACACATGCGTCAGAGGAAATCTCTTAACTGATACGCTCTTTTCCCTAGGTGATCAGGGAGGCTTACACCAATTAAATTAAAAATTCGTTGTATTTACGAACATGTGAGATTTGTAGGTTGCGGACTATAATCTTCTAGTTAAACCCAAAAGGAACACCAAGTTTTTTTAAAAGAAAAGATTTTCTTGTTGGTTATAGCTGAGTAGACGGTGAGAAGAAAGTGGGAACACCCTTATTGAGGCACGCAGTGCTTGTTTATGAAGATCGAACCCTTTGCACTCAAAGAGGAGGTGGTTTGCAAATTCTGGGGACTGACAATCATCCCACAAAGGTGAGTCTACGAGTCCAATCTTGTTCCAAACTGCATTTAATTGAATTGTGTTACTTCGAAAACGGACGCGAGATTAAAATGTCGTATTTTCCATTTGGGAGTTGATTGGAGGAAATTTTATTGACTTGGTGACCTAAGTTTTCTTCCATACCATTTGTGGTATTTCGAGTTGATCCAGAGGTTATCGAGTTCGTGGTTTAAGTCAGAAACTAAAACTAAACTCAGTGACACAACAGCCTATAGAGTGCAAGGCCTACTTTGCCCTTCTTAGTTTTCTTGACCTTGGGCTCTGGGGTATAGGAGCAGATGTTCCAGTTAGGTGCTCAGCCGAACGCGAAACCCCCAGTGTTTAGTTCCTAACCATACTTGGTACTCACTTATCGGCCCACTGAAGGGATCAAAGGCTGAGTCAACCTTGGTCGGGCCGAGGATCGAACCCAGGATCTGTGGCACTGGAGCGTAAAGCGCTACCACTCATCCACCGGGCGTCGGTATAAGTCTAAACATGATGAATATGACAAGTCTTCGGGAGAGATAAAGGGAACGGCTCGAGGTGTATTGGTGGCTTGTTTAGCCAGTCTATCCACAGTTTCGTTGGAGGAGGGGGTGCCAACGTGTGCTGGTATCCAGGCGAACTCTAGAGATTTTACGGTTGCATTTGTTGAAACAATCTTTTTTTCTTAGTGGAGGATGCTATGAGGGGTTTTATGGGTCGCCAAGATGAGGACAGTGATTGCCGATTTACTGTCTGATAAAATAACGTAATCGAGATCCTTGGTGGTGAATTTTGTAAAAGATAAATAAATAGCTGAAACTTCTCAGGTGAAAACTGAATTAATGGGATGGATTTGAGAGCTATAACACATATTTTTCCTTGAATTCATAGCCGTAATACCTATGTTCTAATTGGATTTCGAGACATCAGTCGCCAGAATGGTAAAATTTTTCCAAAGGGTGTGGATGGTTTCCTGATAGAGGGGGAGGATTTCGTTGGGATTTTTCGAAGCAGGAAAAAAATATATAAATAAATATTCATACTAAATATGTAAGTGCACAATAATTTTTAATAAAAATAATTTGGAAATAACGTTTTGGAAAACTTTGATGTATTATCCAAATTTCCTATTACACTACATTTCAAAAACATAATTTGACATTGAAAACATAATTTAACATTAGTTTAAGTTTTAGTAAAAAATGAGGTTGATAACACATAACATTAGTAAAAAGCAATGAAAATTCTTTTAAAATTAGGAACTGAAACAATTTTGAGTAAAGATATAACGTAACTGTCTTCTTTGAATGCTGAATTTAATGCCAATACAATAGTATAAGTTATCAGCAATAAACTGCACAAGTCATAAGTTCTTTACTATTTGAAGAATTAAGAGGAAGAATATCGTACAAAAGATATAAGGACGTATACTTAACTATAGACAAATGACAAAGGCTGGAACGCTTTCGTAAAGAAAGGAAAAACAAAATTGAGCTATCATTTCTAAGGAATTATTTAACCTATTTTTTTAAGCAAAACATTTTTTGAATGCAAAAAAAGAAACTGTTTTAAAAATATTTTAAGTACATGGAAAAATTAATTAATTTCTTAGTGTTCTGTATAGTAAACTGATATTATTGATTATACTCACTGTTACAATTTTCATTCTAAAATTACGGTAAAATAGCCAGCTGTTATCCATCTATCCAGTTAATCGGTAAGTTCACGGTAAGGAACAATTGTTTACCTTTACAGGTTTAAAACTGTATTTAACTACTTTGGTTATAAAAAAAACATGAATGCAAACCTGTACGGTTTTTTAACCATTTACATATAGCATGCTTTCAAAACCATAGAAATGAAATTTAATTGAACATTGGAGTTCATGTTTGCTAATGGATATTTCAATTAGTTGTGGTTGAGTCGTTTTCTGACAAGTAAACAGTGGAGTGTGGTTTAAATAGTTAATCTAATGATGACGTCTATCGTAACATGTGGGGTATAGTGAATATTTTGTGTTAAGCCACTCTATGGTGCTGCCAACTATGTGTGGATGAGATTTTGTTATTCCTATAGTTCAAGTGCAGTGTTGCAAGCTAACGAGTGTAGGACGCTACACCCATGTTGCAGGAGAAGAGGAAATATTGTGGTGTCAACGCTGGAATTCATTCAGCAGATCGTGCGATTGACAGATTAAACATTGATAAATTATTCGGCTAAAGCTTGTACCCAGTGGCAAGAATTTTAGTAACTTCATTAGGTGTCACCACACACTCATTACTATACGATTATTAAGCACCCGATGATGGAAAACGTAATGATTGAAAAACTTGCGAATAATTCTAATCGGCTATAGGAGCAGTTTGAGCTGAAAAAATTCTGTTTGCTCGTGAAAACAGTCAATAAATGATTTTTTCTCACAATTAACATCTTCGTTACACTTTTTTATGGTCATTTGATTGCTTTAATTGAAAACGGTAAAATAACAAATTAATAAATTGTCATTTAACCCTTTATTTTAAGTAATTTTTAGCATTACAGATGAATAGAATAATTGTAATTTAACGTTCAATTGTGCTAAAAATCAAATAATACGTTAAAAATAAAGTAACTACAAATTCGCCAATATTTTGCTTATGAGCCGTGTTGGCTCAAGGGATAGCGAGCTCGCCTTCCAATGAGGTGAACCACGTTCGAATCTCAGCTGATGCTTTACCATACCAGTTCCGCATCATTCTTGCACCTACCACAGTGCTGACGTAAAATATCCTCAGTGATAAAAGTATTATGGGTTAGAGTTCCCTTGCCGTGAGGCTAACTATGGGAGTTTTTCGTGATTTTCTTCTCCATGTAACGCAAATGCGGGTTAGTGCCATAAAAAAGTCCTCCGCGAAGGCAAAATTTCTCCCTATTCAGGATCCAGGAGTTCCCTTCTCTTTTGGATTGGATTCAAAATTACAGTTCTACTGCATTGAACAATAGTAGTCTTAAACCCACAAAATGGGTTGGTTGTTCAACGACGGCTATAAAATTAAATTAAATCTTTCACTCATAACAATATCTTAAAATAATATTTAACTTAAATTTCATTTTTCGTAACTTTTAAAAAAATAATTTTAAGCTCTCCTGTTAGAAAGCCTGCAAGAGGATATAATTATTTAAAGTGCAAGATGTCTTCTATAAGACTGTCGAGTTCCAAAAGTTTATAATAGCAAAACTGTTAAAGAAAAATATTTTAAAAGCAAATTCCTGTGACAGACAGTTGATTTTTCGACCCATTTTCTGTTTTATTTTAAATTTTTTCAACAGATTGAGCTGCAGATATTTGATATTTAAATTAAGGAAAACTATTTGAAAATTATAAGCTTTCAATGACCTGAAATCACATTTTAAAGTTTTCAAATTTTCTGAATCATCCATAATCGAAACAACATTCCGTAAACCATACGGCCCAGAAAAATTCACTGATTCACTTTCACTTCACAGTATTAACTATAGTATTTTATATTTTTTTTTAAATTAATTTTTGCTGTTTAAATATGCTTTTGTTGTGAAATTAGAAATTGTAAAAATAAAATTTAGCAGAAATGATATCAGTGACAAATCTTAGCAAAAGGAGCCCCTTAATATTCAATAGGGTGTTTACCGATCTAACTTTGTTAATAACTTTCGAATTTAATAAAATTTTAACTTGCCATTTTAAAAGTTTTCTAATATAGGTTTCTTTTATAAAATAAATTTTCTATCAGTTTTCTTTCTGAATAATTCTTTTAAAAATAAATTTAAGGACTTAATATGTTAACATTTTAAAAGTTTTCTAATATAGGTTTCTTTTTAAAAATAAATTTTCTGTCAGCTTTCCTTCTGAATAATTTTTTTAAAAATAAATTTAAAGACTTAATATATTAACATTTCCAAAGTTTTCTAATATAGATTTCTTTTTAAAAATACATTTTCTGTCAGTTTCATCAGTGAATAATTTTTTTAAAAATAAATTTAAGGATTTTACATTAAATATTAATTATAAAGCCTTAACTCGATGAAATAATAAAAGNAAGTAAACATTGCTTTATTCTCAAAATTAATGCGATTTTCAAATTTAAAACAGTAGCTACTAAAGTAAATTCATTAATCAAAAGGGGCACCTATGATTATTTTTTATTGAAAAATTATTATTTTTCAAAATAAAATTTTTTATTGGTAATAATTTCAAAATATATTATTTTATATTCAAGAGTATTATTTTTTATTAAAAAATTAGGAAGTTTTCTTTTTATAACCATATTTATTTTCTGGAATGTTTTAATAACATTAACAAATTCGAGTATTTCCGTTTCACAAGATTGAGTGAGGTTTCGAATTTCCTAACTCAACTTTTTTGAATTTAAGAATCAAATTATTCTCTAGCATACGAACTGTTTTTTTATTTATACCTCCAGCGCAACAAGTGCATTTTGACTTGTTTCAAATATTCCGTTTGTGCTAGGTTTCACGTTCGCTAACAGATGGCGCTGTGAAAAATAATCAATGCTGGCGGTTATTGCATGCCACATTTGAAAATCAGTATCAATGTTTTCGCGTTTGAAGTAAGTTGAACAAGTGAATGGATACATCTCAACCATGTTCACTCTCTTAATTATTGTTTTTATTATAGCAACCAAAGGTAAGAAAAAATTTTAGATATTAAATATTATATTTGTTTTTTCAGAAAAAAAGTATCAATTAAAATCACATTTATAAATATGTCACAGAATGGAATGGAATAATAATATTGCGTAAGCGAAATGCATTAGAAGCATAGATGATTTTAATAAAAATACAAAAAATATGTAAGGACATAAGTAAATACAATAAAAAAAAACATGCATAACGCGAAATAAACAAAAAAAGCACATATATTTACTTAAAATATAAATAAATGAATAACATCATAATATTTAGAATCTTTCAGCAATTTTAAAAAATAATAGGTAGTTCTTTTTTGTAGCATTACTAATTAAAAAGATACATTTTACTTTTTAACTTCTGAAATTTTATTATTTCAATTTGAAAAAATTTCTCAAGTTGCTTTAGTAACATTTGCAATGTTTAATCACATAATTATTTAAATTTATCTCAATGAATATACTTTATCAAAAAAGAATTTTAGAAATTTTATTTCAATTTTAGGCATGCTATTTTATGTACTCTATTTTGCAGCAAAAAAGCTGTTTTTATTTTGTCTTTTAAAAAGTAACTTAAATTTTTATTAAAGAATAAAATACAGAATAAAACGCGGGATTGTAATGTGTAATTTAGTAATTAAATTAACTTATTAAAGAATCGTTACGTAAATTTATAAATAAAAAGCTATTAAAAGCTATTTATTTTAAAAATAAAAAGCTATATTTGCATCAATTTCATATATTTTTATTAGTTTGATTTGTCATCCTCATATTTGTTAGTAAAATTTTAAACAGACTGTTATTTCATTAAAAAAAGGTTAACTATTAAATTTAAACTATAGCATTTTTTTCTGACTATCTAATAGATTTAAAAGTTTAATATCAGTAATGGTCAACTAGCATGTGATGCGAAGTATGCGACTAAGTGGGGAAAAAAGGAAAGCAAATTCGTCAAATTACAGTTCATATAATGTTAATTGATCGCTTTTATTTATTATTATTACATTACTTATACTATATTACTTATCACGTACAGCAATAAATATATGTAGCTCCAGTTTTATTTACAGACAATTATAAAAACTATAATTACTTTGCTTTAAATTTTCATCTCAATAAAATTGTAGGAATCGTATATTTATTGGAAAGAAATGCGGCCAGCAGGAAAGCGCATGTAAATTTACAACCCAATAATAAATATTATTTACAGGAATATAAGTTCGTTTTAAAATTTAAGCAGTTATGTTAATTATTAAAAATTTTATAATTATTACGCTTTTATTATAATATTTTAATGTAACTGAAAATATTATGACTCAGTCTTAAAATATTTCGGGGATTTCTTTCAAATAAATATAATTAAAAAAGATTCTAAAAATATCTTCCTCTTTTTAAATATGTCTTCTTTCTTTTTCTCTTTAAAAAGAAGGAAAAAAAAGTTAAAACCCAGTAATCTTTAATTAAATCAGAAACATATATTCAAGAAATTAGAAGAAAAAAATATTTCTCATCTGCAAGCCTCGTTAAAAAATAGTCTCCTAGTGGCGACCAATAAGTTTCGTGTGGCGACTATATTTATAGCTTTCTAATTGCGATCTCAGATTTTTTTTAAATGTAATATCTACATTAAAAAAGCGGCTTAAGAATTGAGCTCGAACGATATTTTTTCCCGTTCTCGATCAACAATAATCGGAGAGAAAATTCAATTTTTTCTTACTTTCACAGTGTTGCATTTTTGTAATAATATCAAGATATCGCGTTACAAGTAACGTTAAAAAATCATATAGTGAATCATTACAAGAACTGCGGAATTCCGATAAAAACCTGTATTTATTTACGAATTAATCAGTGAGAGCTAACATGATCAAAAATCAAGAGGTTATTACTCGCATAATAATATCGCTTAAAATGTATCGGGATTTCAAAGAACCGTGTAAAAATCTGTAACAGTAATGGCTACAAACCACTAGGATTTATGAAGAAATCGGTACAAAATCGAATGAACGTAGTCGAAAATCGAAAGGGGATTACATATAAGCGTTATTGGATATGAAGGGCTATCCAATTTTATGTAAAATACATAGGTGTAACCACCGAAAATGGTGCTCGAAAAGCCATGTGAATGCGTAACGAAATCGGTACAAATTTAACTCGTGCGTCAAAAAGTTATTATTCAGTGGCAGAATTCTAAATTCCCCTGCCGTAAGAATATTCTATGGAAAATATCAGGATTTCAGAAAACCATGTAGAAGTCTATAATGATAATGGATTAAAAACCACACGGTTTTACAGTGAAATAGGCGTAAACTCAAATCCATGAAACTATGATGAATTAAAAGCGCAATTCGAAATTTCTGTGAAAATATTAAATAACGGTTGTGAACTCAACAAATTTGTTGTAACCGTTAACCTTTAATTTAAACGTTATTTTTATAGAATGATTACTGAGAAAAATTATTTGTGTTCACTACTGGATCATATAGGAATATTTGTTGAAGAAAATTTGAAAGGGGAATATTTGCTTGTGGGAAGAGTAAACAAACACGTTTCTTTTTTGTACATTATATAAATTTAGAACAGTTTTATGTAAACATTGTTACAACAGTTTTATGCAACAAAAACAGTTTTATGCAAACATTGCGAAGAATTCCGGATAAAATTATGATGAAAAGTACTGACATACTGTGATCCGGTAATTTTTACAATAAAATTTTACGGAACAAACAATCTAATGTAGCGTAATTCCTACAGAAACAATGAAGAATAAAGCAATGAATTGAATAAGGTATTAAATTCTATGGTAAAAACGGATTTTGCGGTAAAGTGGATTTTATGCATGCTTCACATAGTGCATTTTATGGTAATTTTATGCGGAATTTCTTAAAGTGGAGAAACAAAAATTATTCCGAAGCAATCATCGGGGTTGGTGAATGGTGGCGAACAGGAGGCTTAGTTCCTTAATCTGGATTATTTATGTTCACCAATAATGGAATCCTAAGGGAAATGTTTGGACTTGTATCAATAATTTATCAATATTAAAATTTTGGAATATTTTGAATTTTCTTTTCTTAAATTAACTGCTTTATTAAAAAAATGTGAATGGTTTAGTACCAATATCGTTTCAGTTAATCAATTTCTAAGTGATTCGGAAACTTATTTAAATTTTTAATGTTATTTGCTGAATATTATCGATGAATACTTCCCGCATTAATTTAATGATGCTAAAATTTTTGGAATAATTCAAACTTTCTAAAAGAATGAAATAGGAAGAATCTTCTAAGCGTAAGAAAACACAATTCTTTTTAGCAAAAATGTATATAATTGATTAGCTTCAACTTTCGAAGTAAACATTGCTTTATGTCAACACTGCAAAAAATTTCGGGTGAAGTTACGAAACAATAATTTAATGCAAAACAAGCAAATTATATTTGTGTAACAATTGTTGAGTGTTGGTGAGCGTTAGCGAGCAGGGGTTGGAGCCCTCTAACTAATTTTAAACATATTTTTCTCTTAAGACTAAGCATCCTTAAAAGCTACCACGTAATAAAGATATTTTTTGCCACACAGGCATCTGAAGGACAATTAGTTGAACACTTTTCCAAGGGCACCATATTATGTGGGTCAAAGTTACTCCTAGAGTAAGGACAGATAGTGCAGAGAATGAAAGAAAATCCATGCCTTGCCCAGGATTCAAATTCAGAACCTTCTTGGTGCAAGGCACCCCTACACAGGCCGATTGGCGCAATAATTATATTGATTTTTATATATATATTCATCTCAATCAAGCATCTGGTACAAAAAGAAAAAGCGTTTATTTTTAGAAATTGTTTACAGTTTTATATAGTTCAAAACTTGGAGAAGAAAACTTGAAGTAGAAGAAGAATTAAATGGATTGTAATTTAATAAAATGTCTCAATAATACATTTTTACAATCAAAAAAATATTCAGCTTTGATTCTGTCGATCCAAGAATTTAATTACTGTGATTTTTATTCCCTCTGAGCTAATTCAAACCAAGAAGAATAATCTATCTTAAGCTTTTGCATTGTTGCTGTCCTTTTCTAAGACTAACATGTCGGTTAATAGTGACTGAGACGCCAAAAGGCAGTTAATCTCCTCTTTTTATCAACAAGTTAAAACGAATTAGAATTTATTTTAAGCAATTTAAAAATGGAGCGGTGATGTATAGTAGTTTAAAACGTTACATTTTTAGTTGGAATATTTCGAATCAGATAGTCTAATCTGCTTGCTCAGTTTGATCTGATAGTCTGCTCAAAATTTACATATGAAACAAATTTAAACTCTACTGTCAGTTTCGTTATCGAGAATTTCAATAATTGTTTCTCTTATGCTTTTAATCCTTGAAAAACGTTTTTTTTTTCGTTTAAAGATACAGCATAAATTCTTCCATGGAATATTTTTTTTAATATTCTTGAAAGTTTAGTTCCCTAGATGGGAGCTAAAACCAATTTCGACTTTTGCATCGGAATTCATGTTGAATGTATGTATCGTATTGAATTTATGCATCTTGCAGTTTCTGAATTCTGAGATTAGAGGCGAAACTACCGTTTCGACTGATTATAAGTTATTTTCAGTCAGTAATTTTGAAAGTATTTCTTATATTCGTTTTAGGGTTCTTAAACCTAAAAACAAATATAAAGAATTCTTAGATAAACTAAAGTAAATGATATAGAGAAACTATGGTATTTGTTTTCTTATCAATTGTTATTTTCTAATCAAATCTCAGCATTGTATAAAATTTTAGAGCCTTACGACTTTACAAAATGATTGAAAAATACATCTACGAATTCAATCTTTATCACACTTGCAACAAATTAAGTTAAATAAAAAATTATAACGAAAATAAACCATTTATGTAACAAAAATAAAAAATAATTTTCAGAATAAAAGTTTAAAATATTGTAGAAAATTTTAATAAAGCTCCATTTGATGAATATCTTCCTCCTCAATTTTCTACTCCATAGAGATTTAATTCGCAA